GAACCCGACCACCAAAACCCATAACAAACCGACTTTACCAACCCGAAAACCCGAAAAAACTGCAATAAACCGGCCGCACTAAGAAACTTACCTGCGGGCACTTCGGATTCGCAAGACAAAGCATAAAAAAGCATAACTGGAATTGAAAAGACTGGCATTGCAATTGTGCAATATTGATACATGATGATGTCGTACCGAATGAAAGAATTAAGGATTCGGAATCCGAGAATGAGAGATTTTATTATAATTAAAAAGATAAGAGAGAATAATGCACATGAATTGACATATTGTTCACTGAATCTGAATATATGACACGAGAATTAACTAATCGATTAAGATATGATATAGAGTATAACTCAAGTTGTCTCTGCGTTAATTAACCAGCGACAGCATTACAACTGCATCATTAATTTTCAACAAATAAATAATGAGTTTTAATTTTGTCGTTTTGACATTTTAAAGCATTGACTAGTAGTACTAATTTTTGCTATTCAGTGCATTTAATTAACTCGTCGATAATTATAAGTGCTATTAGCATAACGCGTCATTCATTAAACTTCGTAAATTTGGTGTCTACAATAATATATGAAACCACAAGAAAACATTATCACCCCCTCCCCAACTAGTGATAACAGCTTGTGATTTTAATCATTCTACAATGTAGTTTCTTAATTACAAAACAAATATCATGTTTATATTAAAAATTAACAACGTTATTGTGAATTTTTCAGTAACTGACATGGATGTTGCGATGAACAAAAAGTCTCTCATTTGGTGTTAGACCCCCAAGTAGAAAAAAAAAATAATCATAAAGTATCAAAAGTTTAATTTAATTTCATTTACTAACAAAGTAAAAGTTTTGCATGATCAACTAATTAAAAACCAAGATAAGTATAATTTTTAAACAAATCAGAAACAAAGATAATTATGATTTTTAAACTCTATTAAAAGAGTAAATAAGAATCTCTTGAATAAATTTCTCTAAAAATACTTCTATACTAGATAAATAAGAAGAAAATTTAAATAAATTTTTTTCATAAATAAAAATTAACTTATACATAAGTTAAAAATAAGATTAATTTTAGAGGAATTAATGGAAGAAAATTCTTACAAATTAACTTATAAAAAAAACTTATTTCATTTTTTTCTTTCTATTTTCCTCTTCTATAAGTGTTTTCAAAAAAATTTACCAAAACAGTCATAAAACTTTATGTTGGCATCCAATCACAAACTAACATTTATGATAAATTTATTAACTTTTATAATAATTACTCAAAAATCTTATCAAAAGTGTAAAAAAAAATTACATTGTTACATAAATTATTTTCTCAAGTAACAACAATGGATTAACATATATGTTAGATGATGAAACCATATATAATAAGCCCTACGAGAAATAGTTGATGGTACTGAGTATGAAGGATAATTAAGTAACAGAGCACTGATGTGAAGCTGAGACAGTGCTTAGATTACTAAAGATTGAAGGATGTGTCAAGGGAGTGTGTCTCAGGTTGGTTTGACGGCTTCAACAAGAAACATTTGAAAGCGGGCTATTAACAACCTTCAATTTGGTCATCAATTTCAAAAATACTCTACTCTTGCTGCGTAATCAAAGTGACTCAAATCAAGTGTGCTAGAGTCAATCATATATACATTTTTACTTGATCAATGTATTATATATAAGTCTAAACAGTATTTGAGGTTAATTATAAGAAAGTTATTGGAATATAAAAAGAAACAAACGTAAACCATGTTCTTTCAAAGAGACCTTGATCTGTACATTATTATGAATGAGAGTAAGAGATAATTTTGTCTTGTTTTGAAGTTAGTTTTTATTCATTTCATTGCGTATTAATGTGATGTAGATTAACACTAATGACGAATACAGAAGATATTGTAATGAGATCATTATATATGTGAGTAAACTATGATCAATTACATACAACTTCTGTTAATTGATCTTTCATCTATGTGTCAAGCATTAAGCAGTGATACTTATAATTGGATTGGACTTAATTAAACCATACAAAGAGAGTTGATTTGGTATTACACTAGTCAATATGCGATAGGTTCTTATTTAAGAACGTAGGACTAGGTCTAATTATTTCTTACTCTCACTTAAATACAATATTTTGATTATACTTAATGTGTGAGATCTTCAACATTTTAGGAATATGATATTAGTCCTAATTTAACTCTACAAAATCAATTTATGGGACATTTTTATCCTGGTAGAGCTTCATAGAACCTTTAATATAAGAGATCTGTCACACTGTATTAAAAAGAAAAACAAAACATATATATTCATATTTTCCTCTCCTTTTTTTTTTTTTTGTTTATGGTGGTGTTGAGCTCATATTTTACCATTCTATACTGAAATCCACATACTGAGATGAAAATTCGATTCCAATGGCATTCCCCTAGGCCCTTAGTGTCAACCAGAGTTGAAAGTTGATTTTTTTTCTTGCTTTACTTATAGTTGATTATGTACCATTCTATACTGAAATCCACATACTGAGATGAAAATTCGATTCCAATGGCATTCCCCTAGGCCCTTAGTGTCAACCAGAGTTGAAAGTTGATTTTTTTTCTTGCTTTACTTATAGTTGATTATGCTTTTTTGCCAAGTTGACATACATTATTTAGACATGCAATTTTCTCTATTTCAAAATACTACTAAAATTCAGCATTTTAGTATATTCAATATTACATAATGTAAGTGTCACTAACAATTAAAATGAGTGGATGTATTTCCAATTAACTCAGATATCTCAGTGTTCTCCAAATGACACATTCAACATGCTAGTAAACTTAAGATTAATAAATGTGAAACTTAAGCCAAATGGAAATTTGAAGGAACATAGTAAGGTTTGACAAATATATGGCTGAGAGGGAGGTTTAATCAGAAAGTTTGGTACAAGAAAGCATGCAAATCCTAGAGCATGCTGGTGATGTAGCAACAGAAAATAAAATTTTCAGACAGTTACCAACCTCCAAACTTCACCTTTTCCCACTCATTATATATAGCCCCTTCAGCTTAGTAACTGCTACAGCTATACACACACACACATTCCACTAAGTTAAACATGGAGAAAGCAAGCACTAAATCTGCTTTGAAGGTTGGGAAGCATAATTTTTTTTCTTCTTGTTTTGTTCTATTCCCTCTTAGTAGTAGAATAGCATGTCCTAACAGTTTCACCTCTTTTGCATGCATTTTCCTTAACTTTCCATGGCAAAAGTTTGTGAAGAACACTTCTCAGTCTGCAGCTCAATGGAGCACTACTAATTCTAGAGGAATGGTGAGATTATGCCTAGCTTTACCCTCATATATAAGCCTTATAAAAACCCTCCTTGTCTCATTGTCACATTTAGTTGCCCCATAAAAACTTAACTTCCATGGCATGCATGGATGGTTTGGGGTTTGAAATTTACATTCCATCATAGTTGGACACAGATAAGTCATTCGAGATTTGAAGATACTTCTGCAGTTGTTTATTTGTTTTACTTCAGTTCATCTTAAGGTTAAAAGTTATGAAAGAACTACATCACCTCTGAAAGAAAGCGATCACGGAGCAGTGTTATTTAAGTAACATCTCTTGCATACTTAGATAGTGAAAGAAACCTCTTTTTTTTTTTTTTTTTTTTCTGAGGAAACGACAATTACAAATATGGCTATATACATGAATCAAGTTGGATTTCCACCTTGTGCCTTAATATGTGCATGTCAATGTGTTCTTTTTTCTGTGCCACCACACATTGTGTTATTATCGTTACTCTGACACACACATACGAAATGATAATTTACACAACATTCATTTTAGACATGCATGCATATATGAGAACTTCTGTCACAAGTAGGAATATCCCATTCAGCATTAAGAAAATGAATATCCCATTTCACCTTTTCAATATTATCACTGAAGTTGTCTCGTCTTAACAACCCCATCCACCCAACAAGTTTATCCATGCAACTTTTCCCCTGCTATCATTTATTGAATACAAAATTGATTAAATTACATGTACCTCTCAAAAATTTGAAAAAAAATATTAATTCTACAACCAATGAGAGAGCTTTTCCGACAAAAAGAAGAAACTAGAAACCATCATTGGCCCGTGAGTTATATATCCACCTAAAGATGATAATGGCCTACTTTCTGCTTTAAATAAATAATATTCTGTAGTCTAATATTACGAAAGGCATATGGTATGTATTATGTAATTAAATGAGTTTTCTTTTATTTCTCCTATTTCATATTTTTCTTTTATTTCTTTTTACCCATTTAATACTTGTTACAAGTTTTGGTTTGCTTCTAAAAATAAAAGGGTAAAATTCCCTTTTTCGCTTAGTTATGAAAAACGGAGTTCATTGGTATGTCTCGTTTTATTAGTTATTAAAAACACATGCACACATATGACTTATATGTTTAGACATATTGGACCACTATATATTCTTTTCGCTGAGATGATTCATGAATCATGCTGTCCCTTTCCATAACTTAGATCAAGTGCTCACCCCAAATGGACCCCATATAATGATCACGCGTGTACTTTGTCGACTCCTACTAATGTTATTATTATTAATGTTATGCTTTTTACTCTTCTATCTGTTTCTTCTCCATTATTCTATGTATGATTGGTTGTTTAAAAACCCCTCTAGCTTATTATACATGAATCATGATTGCCACCTAAATAGACATAATTGGATGTTTCACAGACAAAAGATGTACTCAAAGACAAGTTCTATGACAAGACTAAAGTAAGTAACATGGTATAGTATACACGAGTTAGTATGTAAATTTCCACTTTCAAATTTGGTGAGCCGTTTTTCTCTGATGTCTAGGCTTCACGAAGGTCTCCACCCAAAGAAAGTAACATGGTATGGTATATATAAGATAGTATACGTAAATTTCTTCAACATGAATTTTTTTTTTCTTTCAAATTTGTTGAGCCATTTTTCTCTTATGTCTAGGCTTCACGAAGGTCTCCACCCAAAGAGAGTAACATGGTATGGTATATATGATTTAGTATATGTTATTTTCTTCAATATGAATTTTTTCTCTTTCAAATTTGGTGAGCCATTTTTGTCTATGTGTAGACTCCACCAAGGTCTCCACCCAAAGAAAATACTAAGCCACAAGAATTCAAACTTCACACCCAAGAAAGAGCTGTCAAACGTGCAATGTTCAATTATGCTGTAAGATAATGTGAACAATCAATGCTGAAGTAAGGAATTAGGTTTTTATGATTCATGAATGTGATTTTGCATGTACACAGGTGACAACAAAATTCTATATCATGGAGCTGCAAAAGAAACAAGAGGAGAGGCTGCAAAAGGTAGGCACATAACAATTAAGATACATTGTTCTATTTTATGAGAATGAGAGTAACATTTGAGAAAACTTAATATTTATGAAATTGAGTTAATCTCGAGCAGCTGATTGAAGAGGAAGAGGTTCGTTTGCTAAGGAAGGAAATGATTCCAAGAGCTCAATTGATGCCTTATTTTGATAAGCCATTCTCCCCACAAAGGTAAAGGACAAAGGATTAGATTGCATAGGATATATATATATATATAGCTAGAAATTTATTTAAAATTTTTTTTTTTTGATATATGTAGAAAGTGAGAAAGATAAAAGTTGCTTTATAAAATTGGAATAGAATTTAATTTCTATACACTATCGGTATAAAATGTGTGACACAGTCAAATAATTATAAATGATGTAATTACTTGGGAATCAATTATAGTTGAGTTGACTAACTTTTGTTAATGACTAAAGAATAGTATTGATAATAATGGGAAATTTGAAGAACTACATATATCTAAAAATTGAATTGCAGATCAAGCAGGAGTGTTCCAAGAGAATCATGCCTCCACATGATGAGCAGCAAGTGCTGGAGCTGCTCAGTTGGCAATGAAATCTACAACTTGCACCACTATGGTCATCAAGCTCTCAAGCCCATTAAGTAGAAGCTTTGTGGGAAGGAGCATGTAAAATGTATTCCTACTTGTATCTTCATGCATGTTGTACACTATCCATAGAGAAACTTAGAGTTTTGTACCATACCATGCCACTACCTAGATCTCCTCAATTAGGGGACGGGGAGATGTTTTCATGTTTTCTTTGTCACAAAATAAAGATCAATCATGTAATTTTGTTGTGTCTTTTGATCTTGGTTGGGTATTCCCATTCCAAATTTCCAATGCCTTGTATTGTACCATTTTCCCATACCAATGCCTTGTTCCATTTTTTCATACCAATTCCTTGTACCATTTGGAAAACAACCGAATAGAATTGTCACTTTGCATGTGAAACACTCCTATGCATTGCCATTAATGAGGTGCTCGCTTTTACTGTTTCTATTATTTTGTCACATTATTTTTTACAAAAAGTTTAGATTATTTTGGCACATTCAAGAGTCGGGTCATCTATAATTTATAATAATATAACTCCAAAAAAAAAGTGTAACTTCAAGACACTTTAGTGAAGAAAAAAAATTCCAAAAAAAATAGTATACTTAAAAATAAAAATCACATAATTGAATTATATAAAAAATATTATAGAAAATATTTTAATTACAAAATATTAAATTACCTTTAATTTTTTATTTTTCCTTTTATCTCTAATTTCTTTATTTTTTTTCTTTTATCTGATTTGTGACTTCTCCCACTTTATTGAAATCTCGAATTAAACCGCAAACTTTTACCTTTTTTCCATTATAATGATTTTTAAAATTAGTTCATAATCTCGTACAAAAGTGTTTAATTAGTTATTCAGTTCAAGATTGTGAGACCCATGATGTTTGTTTTTTTTTCTTCCCCGG